GACACCAGTGAGTTGGCATTTTTTGATATTAAATAATTCACTTTAATTGAGAGAACTTCCTAGTCCACACAGCCTGCAGGGATGAAGGACTTTGACAGACAGCATCCCCCAAACTTAGCAAGGCTTCCTGTGAGACCATGGCCTACACAGAAGGCTGAAGCTGTAGCATAGCGAGCGTGGTAGACCAGCTACCTGCACGGGCCTGGCCTCATGTTGAATGCCCTCCATTGTACTGTGGAAGATTCCACAGAATTTGTGAGTTCTAATTATTGAACAGGAAGAAAATTTTACTCTTTTGAATCATCATCATCATCATTTTTCTTGGAGGCTAAACTTTGTTCCCTCATCCCTTTCAATCTAGGAGAACGGATGTGGAGTGTATGTGTTACTGCTCTGAACATTTAATTTGGGCAAGGCCAAGTAGGTGGGCAGGGTGTGCAGTGGACCATAGGACCCAATGCCATCAGAGATGCTTCAGGGAAAGAGCCCCGAATTGCCATACTGGATGGTATCTTAGAGTGAACCTAGTCCAGCCTAGCCCATTATGTTGATGATAATCTAAAATTCAGCAAAATTAAATACGTGGCCAAAAGTTATGCCAAGAGACAGAACCATGACTGGAAAGAGGTTTTTATTTTTTCTACTTTTAAGTGTTTTTATCTTTATGTCAGTTTCACAAAATCTATGTCAAAAGGAAAAGATTTTCAGAAAAATCTTTATTGCTAGGTGTTCAAAATTATTAAGTAAAGGAAAGCGTACTATACTGACTTTCTTTAAAAAACATGTCAGAAATTATGAGGCAAGAGAAGCTGTGGATGTAACTGGGAAAACAAACACTTCCCTTTATTCTCTATCGTCCTCCCCCAGGAACTGCAAAGGAGACTATAAGGAAATAATAAATATTAAGGAAAAAAATCTTTATATTTCAAGCTACAGCTTAAATATCTAAAACAAAAAGATGCCATTTGAGATGCATGCACATATCTCTGTGTCTGTGTGCATGTGTTTTGTGTATCTGTGTCTTCATGAGCCTGTGTATGTGTGTATCTCTATATTGTGTTTGTGTGCATTTGTATGTGGCCCTCTATGTTTTCACATGTGTTTGCACAAATGCATGCATGTCTGTGTGTATACATATGTTCTACACCTTTGTGTGTTTTGGTATGTGTGCTCAGGCCCCAGGCACAACAAGCTAGTGCACTCTTCACACTGGACAGAGTTCTGGGTTGATTTGTACCCCAGCACTGCCCCTTACCTGTTTTGCTTCTTGAGCAAGTTACATTGTTTTTCTGAATCTCAATATTCTTATTTACAAAATGGTACCCAGAGTACTCACCAGGAAACAAAAATAGGTCAACCATTATGTTTGTAGCCACTTGGCTCTTAGTAAGTTGAATTAACTACATTTTAAAAAATTTGGGTGTTATTTTATTGCATAATCTTTGATATATGTTTGTCTCCCAACTATATATATGTTGATGATAAATCTAAAATTCAGAAAAACTAAATACGTGGCCAAAAGTCAAGATGGCCCTTGTGAAAGCTGACATTGTCTCAATGAGTATTATGGCAACTCCGTGAGTGACTGAGTGACGCATAATTATCTCCACTTTACATAAGAGGGAACTGAGACCTTGTGGGGAAATAATCTGCTCAGAGTCACCCCAGGAGGGATGGAACAAAGATCCCCATCTTTTTTTCCAAGACAGCCTGGCAACCACTCTTTCCTTCACCTTACCTTGACCCAAGGCTGTTGTGAAGAGTAACAACATGGTGGTGTGGAACTGGCATTGGCATCCTGGCTGTCTTTACCCAGCTAATGTTTGCCCTCTGCTCTGACAAACCTGTTTTGATTTGTGTTGCAGCTGGCACATGAATTCTTAAGGTCAACCCACCCATTCTGCCCTAGGGGAGATACAAGGAAGAAGAAGAAATTGGGAAAAACTCAAACTGAATGGGCAGTGAGTGTTAGCTTCATTAAAAAGTGCATGTGCTGACATATCCTAAAAGCACCTGGTTTTAGGGCTTGCCTTGCAAGTTTTTGACAGCCATTTAACTGCCACACACCACTGCTCCTGGTATTCAACCGGGAAGCAACAGAAGGAGAATTGCTGGGACATGACTGTTTAATCCCTTCCTAATCTCTGGAGTCTCATAAGTCCTTTAAGTCTTCAAATATTGAACTATAAGTACTTGGATCACAGAAACATTATGGTCATAGGAGGCCCAGGTACTGAGCTATGAAATTCAAGAAAAGCAGGGGAATAAAATTTCCAGGGGTTATCTTGAAAACAGTTTGAATATAGTTAGTGCGGAAGTGAAGCAAAACCCTACTTACGAAATTATTACTTTTGTTTAGCAAGATATACGGACTCAATTTTGCACAGAAAATTACTTAGGAAAAAACCTCTCAGTAGAGCCCTTCAAAGGCAATTTAATATTTTTAATAAGGCAAATCTTTCCGTTTCTCAACTATTTAGCCATGAAATCTTGAAAATCCAATGAAATTCTGTCATCAATAAATGGTGTTTTACAATTTTTTTGGGTCTGTTTAACAGCCTAAGAGTATTAGCATTCTTTAGACACTTCAATTTAATCCTAATGACAAACAATGAGCTTTTTTTTTTAACTGCCTTTCATGTAATTTAATCTAATTTAGTGCCTCTAAACTATGTGTCTGTTTTTCTGTTAGTTTCTGCCTCAAAATTGTAAATAAGGTCAATTTACCCAGCAACCTACAAATTTCCAAACAGTATGTCTTATCTCCAAGAAGTCATTTAGAAACATAAAACACAATATGTTGTATAACAAATAAGAAAGCCTGAGAGCTTCTGCATTTCATTTATTAACAGTCCTTTAAAAAGATTTGGTTAGGAGCTAGACCCACCATGGAATGATGACACCATGGCACCAGAAGAGGGGACAAAAGCCAATCCGTGTCACTAAGACAGAGGTGGTGAGCAATTTTCCTCACTTTGAAATTTCTCTCTGGGGTTCGAGCTCCCTTCCAAAGCCATGCCACATCTGCAAGACTCAGATGCTTCCCTCTTGGCAGTCAGGTTAATCACAACACCCACCTTGGGGCGTTTTGAGAAGATTGAATTCCACATACTATATGAAAGTGTTCACAAACCCAAATCCATCTCTTTCAAGGAATGAAGCATTAACATCTCCATAATTGTGTCTCTGTTCTGACCAGACGCAAATGCCCCAGTTTTGGCTTTGTTGGTGGCATAATCTCATTCACTGTTCAAAATCGCCCTTTCCCACTGCTGTGATTAGCTGTGGTTCCTGTGAGTTACAAAAATGTGTGATTGAACCAACAAAACAAAACCATTCCACTGCTATAAAAGCATATTGGTCCTGAAATTGATGGTATCAGCTTGGCCACGTATCTAAAGTATCTAAAACCGGAGCCCACGCACACACTTTCTGTCTTTGGCCTTAGGCTCTACGTTCTCCATGACAAGCTCACCAACCACTTTAACTTATTTGTCTTATTTGCCATCTGATTCATTTGAATGTAAGCTCCACTTGGCCAGGAATATTCCTGTTTCATTCACTGTTCACCAAGAGCAATGAATGACACATAGAAAAAAAAGAATGAATGAAGACCAGTACCTGGCTATTATACAAAATGCTCATGTATCTGCAGCCAAAGGAAACCCAGAAGCTGTTAGGAATAGTCCACTATAAGGCTTACACTGCCTTTAATGTTTCAATTCTAATATGTCAAAGCCTATAAAACAATTTGGCTATTTTTAATGTTTTCTTCTATTGATTTCATCAGCAGTTTTGCCTGTTCTCTCTGTGAAGAGGGAGGATAGCTCATGCTTCAGATGCTAATCTTAAATTTATAGAATGCTATAAGCTGTATAGAGGGAGTTTCCCACTCCTTCTAGTACAGCTTCAGTGGAAAGTCCAAATCCACTCTCCTAAGCAGTTATTTATCATTTAATGTTCATGCATTCCCATTGTATGCTCAATTGCAGGAAACCTCAGTGTGAGTACAAACAGCACTACTAACAAATGTGCATATAGTTCATTTTTTATCTTTTTATACCACCCTCTGTTGCCACAGTATTTGGGAGATCTGTCAAATTATCCTATGGCAGATTGGAGAGAGGAGGTTGTGCTACAAGTCAAGGCCCAACTGCTCGTGTCGCTGTTTCCATTTTTACTGCTTGGGAATCACTATTTAGGAAACTCTAGCTATGTTCATCCACGGCAACAGTGGAAGATGAGTCTGTGGGGATCTTGAAAGAAAGAACCAGTGAAGGAACTGAAAAGCAAGGAAAAAACAATCCCAGGGTAGTGCTGCTTTCATGATTTTTTTCAAGAGGGAGTTGCCTCTCTATTTATATAGTCACCCAGAGAGTGAACACGATTTGACAATACAGGAAGAAGACACTTCTTTTTGTATGTCATTTCCCCCGGTCTCTGACTCCTAGAGTTTGAAAAACATTTCATTTTTTTTTTTGCAGGATTTTCCTAATAAAACTCTGCACTTTGCTTGTACAGAAAGAAACAGAATGTGTTTTTATTTGCACTTTTGGAGCCAGTGTAAAAAGCTTATTTGTTAAGTGTTGTGGAAGAGATTGTAAAATGATGCAGATGGTAGTGGTAAGAGTGTCTTTTCCTTCTGTAATTTTACTTTTTTTCCTGACCTTCACTTGCTCACTTTGTGCTGCTTGGAATTTTCCAGAGATAGCTCTGTGATTGGCTATCAGTGAATCAGAGACACAAAAGGCTTTACACATAGATTGTCTATTTCCAGGGAGAATGATTCAGGGTAGATGGAGAAGAGTGGCATGTCCAAACCCATTTGCTTCACCTAGATAGTCTAATTTCATGTACAAAAGATGCATACATGCAAAAAATACATTTGTTTCTCTTGATCCTACCACCTTTGGTGCTTTGCCATAGACTAAATGGCATACTAGAAAAACTCTGTTCAGGTTGGCCATTTTAACTTACAATTTGCAGAGAAAGGCACTCACCAGCACTGACAGTGATGGCTTCGATGAACTGTTCTCTCCAGCTGTTTGTCCCCACCACCAGGGCCAGATTTGTCTTCTTAATGAGTTTGTCCACAGTACTCTAGAAAGGTGGAAAGAAATAATATAATAACTGCTGGGCTTGTTAGGACCTGAGGAAATCTACGACCTTGTTGGAAACCTCAGAGTTATGTAAAGGGTAGCAGATGTTAGGCTCAGAACAACAGTATTGATATCAAATACTTTTCTTTTCAAACACTTTTATGATTATGCAAACAAGCATGGTCTTTTCTTGGAAACATTCTGAAATGGAAACTTCTTTGCAGCACACACAAGCCTCCGTCACTGACTAATGGCCAATGAAAAACAACCTCAGTGTTTAGAATAGTAGCTGTTGCAAAGGCCTATCCATTCCCCTTGAATGCTTAGTGAACTGGCTTCTCTGCTGGCTTTATCTGTAGGGGGTTGTCTGCAACTAAATTAATATAGGCTTTGCTCAGCATTATATATATATGGAATTGATTGACAGATTCTGAAACCAAAGACTTAAGACTTAATCTTGTTCTTTTGTTTACCAGTGAAATGCAGCCAGGTAACAGAGTCTCAGGTTGCTTGCTGCATTGTCATTAATAAATAGATTTCTTTTTTTTGGCTATTAGTTTGGTCAGCCTTGTGGCTAATAGAGAATTCCACTCTCACTCCATTCCTGTTACATAAGAAAAATAAGACAAGCAAAGATCCCTTCTTAAGAGTTAGGGCACATTGCTAATAACCCTGCAAAGAATTTCCCTGTTTTACTAGTGCTGTGCTACATGCCCTTTATTTTTCTTTAGAACTTTCAAAGTACTTAGTTTTGTACAATTAGTACTGTCTAGTTTTCTAAATTTAGTTATTGTAACAACAGGTTCAGCCAAGCGTTCACAAGAAAACTAAGCAGATGCACTCAAAGCGCTACCACAGATCATGGCAACTACAGGAAAAGGGGCATTTCCAAGACATTGAGGCTGCTCTTCTCAGAGAATCTACCACATTGACTAGTCTACCAAGCATCCACACTTACTGTCAGAGCATCCTCGAATTTCCACTAATTGCAAGGAGGCAGAAAACATGTATTATTTGTCTTAGGTCAAAATCTGTACATGGTCAATACAATGTACCTGAATTAATTATGGTTGGAGATAGAACATATTATCAGCTAACTGGGAGTGAAGAAAATGTGATCTGAAGGACCTGATGGGAGGCCAAAGCCAATTTATATATCAAGCATGTTAATCCAAGGAAAGTCATTGGAATTGACTTGAAGCATTGAGAATATAATAAACATGAAAGGGCCCATCTCCAGCTGGCTCACTCTGTATTTGTAAAGTTATTCTTGGCTAGATTGGATGTCCTTAGGGTGTTGACCTTTCAGCTTCTAGCCTTATGTCTAGAACTGCTGGTGCCCCGATAACAGCTGTAATAGTCAGTGCTCTTGGGTACAATAACTTGGAGCACATGACAAGTGTCTGTCTTTTCTCTCTCAACTCAACCACATCTCATCAAGCACTGAGAGAATCTTGGTAGATGCCAATTCCCAGTGCTGGATAGAATGAAGCAAGAAATAACCTTGATTTTTCCTACATGTAATGGAAACATGGGAAGCTCTCTCCAAAGCAGCCCTTTGTGCTAAAACTAAAGGGGAGAAACCCATCACCTGGGAGATAAACAATTGAACAGATAAACTGCTCTGATGTTGGACACAGACTTCCTCACAAAAATACCTGCCAAAGAATAAATGTTTAAGATAAACCAATCTTAACATTGCTGTCCATTTTTACCTGGGGAGTTCCTAAATGCCAGGGATAAGCTCTTTACTGCACTAGACTTTTGAGAGATGGTGAAAACCTCGCCCTCACCAATGGGTGTCAGTAAAGTCATGCTCTTAGTTACAAAATAGTAGTAAGAACTCAGTGGGCAAAGCACAGGGGATACTGTGAAATGTCACTCAGACTTGGAGTTCTAATGCAGTTCTGGGAATCTCAAACATGTTTTTTGGCTATGATATGGGAAACTAAATTCTTGAATAAATAATATAATATCAAAATTGATACCTGAGGGTGCTTCAGAAACATGCCCCCAAGGTGCCTTTTAGATGTCAATGGTAACTGTATTGATGAATTTGGAGAAAATGAGAGGAAATAGTGTGTTGAAGATATTCTAAGAGGATAAGTACACCAAAGAACCAGACTTATGTAAAGAGGTTGAGGGTACTTTCCAATGCTCAGATTGTTGGAGTAGTGACCAGAGAGGGATTTGGACCCAAGAAAACTTTGCTTCCTGGGAGACTCACCCAACCCAACACTTCCTAAGGGAAGTCACTATGATTGCTCTTTCTGTCATGGGTACATGGAAGGGAACGGTTGGGTACTGTCCCATAAGGGAGAGAACATACAATTCCCCATGAAAAATTTGGCATGGATGGAGACAAATTTGCTCCAGAAATGCCAACCCATAGAATCTCTGCTGCAGCAAATAGAACCAGATGAAAAGAAGGTGCATGAGGAAGAACAAAGTTGAACACACCTAGACACAAGGTGCTGGGGATTGAACCCAAAACCTTGTGCATGGTAGGCCTGTGCTCTACCACTGAACTACACTTCCATCCCCTACAGGAAACTTGTGTATGTTCCACTCATGGATTTGCAATGAGCCAAGTTCCAGATCATATGTGATGGGCTCTGATGATCGCAGTCAAGTCTAGAAAGCATTGGCTCTAGAGTTTATTCCCTTTCTATGAAAATGAGTGAAAGGAAGTCCTAACAGATTATCACTGGCCTGAAGAAGAAAGTTTAATTGCTTTATTTTCTCCTTTATTGTGGTACTGAGTTGCATCCCCAGCACTTTTTATTATTATTTTTTATTTTGAGAAAAGGTCTACCTAAATTGCTGAGGCTGGCCTTGAACTTGTGATCTACCTGTCTCAGCCGCCCAAGTCAATGTAATTACAGGCATATATCACCATACTTGCCTTAACTGCATTTCTTTTTTCTTTTTTTTTTACATTTTAAGAATTCCATTTTAATTGCAAAGACATCTTTCTTTTTACCTGTTTTCCTCTCAGGCACCTCAATTTGTGAACCAAAATTAAAAGTAATTAAGAAAATCAGCTAAAGGAAAAGAGGCCTCTATATTAAAAAAAAAAAAAACTAGATAAAATACTGAGGTTTCTAAGCTGGTGGCTAGATTATCTCTTTTGGTAATTTTTTTTTTCTGATTTTTTGAGCAGAAACAGTCTGCTTTTGAAAAAAAAATTAGGGATAAAACTGCTCTGCTCAGGGTTTGTAATTCTGGAATTGAAGAGAGGGGATGCAGCTCTTCATATCCCACTGCAGATGTGGCATGTGGTTCCACTTGTGGTCTTCTGAGATGTTAGGACTCTGAGTGAGAAGGAATGGGAGGTGATGTGGGGGTTGAGGAAGTAGCTTGGTGATTGACGGGGAGTTTCATCTCCAAGTTTTAAGCTCACTCCAAAATCCATACATTAACTTCTGAATGACTTCCATCATCCAGAAAATTGGGGACCCAATTTTATCAGCTCAACTATAAAATCTGGGGCTGCAGGCACTATAACTTCAGTATGTTGACTGTGATAACATATTCCTGGGCTGAAGAGGGCGACTAAATATGAATGACAGCTTGTCAGTGGGAAGTTACAGAGATATTACAATTCACCTCTAAAGCAAAAGCCTCTTAATTTTCAGCAATGTCAACACTTTGCTTCTGACAGATTCATTAGCTTTCTCCCATCTTAACAGTCTCTTGGTATCCACCTTTGTGTCTTCCTTGCTATCCCCTTGTGCAGGGATGGATGCCACCTGTGGGGCCCTGGCTCTGAGGCTGCTTAGAGTCTACAGGGACTCCTGGTTCCCTACTAACTCCATAATTCCAATTGGCTCTAAAGGTCTTTCAATGAATGATCCAGTCCCTGAAATCACATCTCCCCTTCCCTCTAGATGCATCTTACAGCAGGGCCAACACTGTGAACCACCATGTTCCCAGGTGAGCAGGCCTCCAGGGTGGGCATACCTTGAACTCATAGGACTCTTCAATGATCACTTCCAGCTTGGTGTGCTCTCCTAAGATGGGCCGTCCCAGCTCGGCAATGCGCCTTTCCTCTTCCTCTTTGCTGGTCAGCGGCTGTTTGTCATCACATTCCTCTGGGGAAAGGAAGGCAGGACAGTGAACAATGTGCTCCTTTTTGTTTGGAAATCCCTGGATCCTGCTACAAGAAAACCAAGGAGGGAGGAAGGAAGCCCTATCAACCTACTAAAAGTCCCCTGGGTAAGATCGTGAAGCTGGAGGGGAGGACTGGACAGATGCTTGGCGACTGGGCAACACATCACTCCGATGGCAGGTGATTATGTCCCAGTGTCTAAGCTCAGGCAAAAGTGCAGATGAAGAAAAGTAACACAGAGGGGCATGTCACTGAGAAAGACCCTGCCTGCACATTGTCTGTGCTCTGGGAATCTCCCAGCTGTTCTCTGTGATGCTGGCTCAGCTGGCTCTTTGTACACATTCCTTCAGCATGTGACCAAAGGGAAACACACACAATTAAAAGTCCTAGAGTAACCCTGGGATGGAGAAATTTGGCTTTCTCTTCTCCACTTTCTAGAGGCAACAGAAAATACCCCAGGGCCAAAGAGAGGATGGAAAGGAAATTTTGAGCTTAGCCTCTCACTAGCCAAGAGCCTCTGTCACAAATTAAGCAGCACAACATCCATCCCATGCTTCCGTGAGATGCATGGGCTCCAGTGCTTCCTCTCCGGTGCAAATGTGTTAGGAAAACCTTGACCATGTTAATCTTAAAGTAAACAGGGAGGGCGAGGGTGAGGCCTTTGGGGAGTTAAGACTCACCACGTGAGCATGATTATTTCCAGAACTACCATGTAGCTTACACTCCAGGATAGGCTAGTGGGTGCTGAGGAAATGTTAATGGAACCAAGAGACCATTAATGAGGGGAAGCTCGTAGTTGACTCTCTCTGCATCAAGGTCATGAGGACCAATCCTGGAGTGAAAAGGCCACGTACATGTGGAAGACAAACACTAGCCCTTTAATCATCCTTATCCTTTAGGCTCAGGATGCTGGAACAGGCTAGGCTACTTCCTCTCATGTCAAGAGGAATGAACGTCATCTCCAGGGAAGTAGCAGTGGTGATATGGAAAGACCTCAGCCCTAATGCTCTCACCTCTAGGACACCCAGACAAATTGCCTGCAATAGGAGTCTGTGGTCTCAGGAGTTATATATAAAGAAGGGACTTCTTGCCCAGAACTTTTGTATTTGCATTTAGACATCAGCTTCTGAAGGGGTCTATACCTCCTATTCCCTCTGAAGACTCATGGCTTCCTTTCTGCTCAAGAATCCTGGTGCAATAGCTCCAATTGTTGCAGAGAATGGTCCCTAGACCATTCTCTTGCAAAGGTAGGAGACAAATGTGCCAAATGAACTGCCAGCATTTTATATTTCAAATGTCAAAACAAACGGAAGGCAGGAGCAGAATGCAGTGTATCAATGAATTCTTTAGTGTATATAAATGATATTTTTCAAATCCACATTCCTATCCCCAGTGATTACAGGATGTCAAAGAAATCAGATGAAGACTTAAAATGAGTGATTTTTGACTGGGCAGAAGCTGTTGACCATTAGCAGAGGCAAAGAAAAGGAACGAGAAAGAATTAATTTTAACTGTAAGTGGTATTTTTTTTTTTTTTGTATCAGCACAGGGACACTGTGATCCAAGGAAAAGCAAAGGGTTCTGGGGGTGGGGATATCCAAGACTTGTCTTTGTGAAACTAAGTGTGTATAGTCAAGAGGGTCAACTGAGCTAAGTGAAGTTCAATGTATCCAGTGCTCAAATCAAACATATTTTGATTCCCATGACTTTCTGATCCTTGGACCATTGGTATTGTTTATAGCAGCAGGTTATATTAGTGTCTTTGTTCAAAACCTTGGCTCAACACAGATGTATGAAAGACTTATGTTGACAAGGACCTATTTCCTTACAAGAAAATTTATGACTTGGATATCTATTTGAATACAAAGTTATTGGGGGAGAATATTTATTGTGGCCTTATTTTCTATAGTTTACTTATAAATGACAAGTTGCTTTTGATAGGACTAAAGATAACTTATGCAGAAAAAAACGGAGAAATTATGAAAGCAAGGTGATGTGGTAGAATGGTTTAGTGTAGCACTCCACAAAATGAAATTGATTAGGAACATGAGGTATTAAATAAATAGACATGGGAGTAAATGAAATTGAGTGAGTAAAAAGATACTTTATCAGTAATCCTCAGCCCTTCTGATTATAAATATATGTTTAGTTTGATGCTCTTAGGTCTGTAACTATTCCCAGCATTTGGGTTTCTAGCGTTTTAAGATAGAGAATATAGTATCTAGCTAGAATTTAACAGCATTTTTTCCTTTGTAAAATTTTACTTTGTATTTATGGAAATGACTGTTAGTTCTCCTTATGCTATTGACTTAAAGTTTTCTTTTAAAGCAAATTTAGTAAGTAAAACATGAGGCAATTTCAAACTATTTCATTAAGTCAATAACAGCATAGTTGGTATGCAACTGAAGGGAAAAATTTATTAGAATGACAAAAATTTAGAAAATACTGTCTTAGCATATTTCACACTAACCAAAAGCAAAGTTAAGGCACTGGGTCTCTCTCATTTCCTACATTCTTACAACAAACTGTACTTTTATTCCGTTATCAATATACCTAGAAAGGCTTTCCTATATCTATCTACTTAAATCCTACTCTTCTTTCAAAAGCATTCCTTTTCTTCCATGAAATATACTCCAATTGACAACTGGGGTTTCAGCCATGACCACATGAACATTTAATTAATTATTTAATATTCATTGTGTATACAGAACCTGAATACTCTCATATGCTCTTTTTAATTTTTAATTACCTTTATATACAAATATCCAGCACGCAGGCTTTCTGAGTGAGAACAATGTGTCTCATTTCTCCTTGAATCATTCTTACATCCTCCAGGGTCTATACAATGTATGCAATGTAGTAGGTGCTGAATAAGTATTTGTTGTGAGGCTCTCCATTAGTAAAATATTTTAATTGCTCTATCCATAAAAATATGGATCACATTTATTCTTTTAACACATGTCATTGCACTCCTACAATATGTCAGCCCTGCTGTAGTCCTCCCCACCAACCTCCCATCTTCCAGAAATTGATGGTGTAGTGGGAAGAGAGGCATATAGATGAACAACTTCTGGTACTGTGTGGTAAGGGCTGAGGGACCAGGGTGGGAGGTGTGATTAGCTGCCTGAGGGAGTCAGGGAAGGCTTCAGGCTTCAGGAAAGTGTGATTGAAATTGGCCTTGAAGCTTGCCAGGTGGAAGTAATGGTAAGCATGGCCAAGAGGCAATGCGGTGAGCAGGTGCATTCTGGGCAAGCAAAAGTCAAGGTCCAAGTGCACAGCATCATGGAAGGGTCAGGGCTGTTTTCACTTGCTAAGTATCATGAACATTGAAGGTATAGTTATATTTATGCATAATTGATATGTCAGCTGGATAAATTCCATCATTGATCTGCAGTGATACTGATTACTACTTATGGTCTAGATTTTTGACATTGGCAAAGAAGAGAGCTGATTCTTTTTTTTTTTTTTTTAAGTGTCCTCAGTTTAGATACTTTTTGTTGAGTAGGAAAAAGTTCCCTCTGCCCCTTGGATCAACTATAATGTCTGTTTCCTTTCCACTTGGAGCACTGGACCCAAACCAGCTCATTTTAGTGTAGTCAGGGCCAGCTTATTTCCTCACTTACACCAAGTGATAATGTGCTCTGGTCTTAGTTTTGTTTCTTAGAGAAAATTAATCCTCTCTCTCTGTCTCTCTGTCTCTCTCTCTCTCCCTCTCTCTCCTGTCTTCCCTATATATACATGTAGACTTTTAAACCTCACCATATTTTATCGAGAAGTTGGGAATAAATTACATTAACATCATAGTTCCTAACCAACCCAAACAATATAAAGATAAAATACATAATTAGCTACCACTGTTAAAAGTCAGTAAAACAATTCTGTGATAAAATTACCAGCGGGAGAATCTCTCTTATCTTGAGTGGTTGATTTTACAAGCAATAAATAATAAAAGCTAATAGGTCCAAGATCTAGGAAAAACAAAATTATAAAAAGCTGCTTCTAATGCTTCCTGGTTCGAGGTGTATTTTGAAGCAGAACCACTGTGAGGTGAAGGGGTGCAAGTAGGCATCCTTTTTAGAAAACAACACAGCCCACATGGTCTATCTCATAATAGAGATCTATACCTGAGGAACTATTATTGACATTCTTTGGTATAGTCATAATTTTTTATCTTAACTGTTATGGTTTAGATAGTGGGTGTCCCCCAAAAGCTCATGTGTGACACAATGAAAGAAAGTTTAGAGGTGAAATGATTGGGTTATGAAAGTCTTAACCTAATTAATACGTTAATCCCTGATAAGGCTTAAGTGGGTGGTAACCATAGGCAGGCAGGCTGTGGCTAGAGGAAGTTGGTCATTGGGGCATATTTTTGGGGTCTATATTTGTCCTTGATGAGAGGAGAGTTCTTTCTCTGCTTCCTGGTGTGATGTTCTGACATGTTCTAACATGTCCTTCCTCGCCTCTGCCCCAGAGCAATGAAGTCAGCCATGTGGACTGAGACCTCTGAAACCATGAGTGCCAAATAAACTTTTCCTTTTGATCACAGCAATGGAAATACTGACTAAAAAAAATTAACAAACGATGTGGAATTGGGAAAAGGGGACAAAGCCAGCAGCAGAACACTTTGTTCAATACTCTTTGGGTTCTTCATTCAGAAATGTAGTGACAAGTCTGACAGCAGTGGTCACTTGACAGTCTGGCTGGTCTCATTAATGGAAGTTTCCAAACTTTGATTGTTCTATTTCTTTGAGGAAATTTCTGGAACAGTTTTGTAACCAGGACTGGATTTCATGATTATTGGATGGGATGTGGGCTGTGAGGTTGAGGAAAAGTCCCTAGAAGTGCTTCCACCATCATGGCTAGTGATGGGCAACAGTGATGAGGGATAAGCAAAATCCCTGTTCTCCTCCAGAGACTTAGCTCCAGGAGATGATATCCAGCTTAAACCCAGAGTAAATCTGGTAAAGTTGCATAATCCCCTCATCACTCCGTCAATGTTCCTTCATTTCTTCTAAGGAGAAACCCCACATAGGTACTATCATCTGTTCATGAGGAAATTCAGGATCTGGGAAGATATATGGCTTGGGATTTTAAATAAATTTTATGATAGTTGGGATGAAAGACTGGACTCCTGGGTAAGAAGAGATATTGGTGAGAAATATGGAATATTGAAACTGGAGAGGCCACTGGATCACATTCTCTATAGGTCTAGGCTGCCACCTCTATGCTACTGGTCTTCTGTTCTGCCCTGATGTGGTTGGGTTTTGTTGGTAAACCATGGCATCCCTGGCTTCCAGAGATGCCACTGCATTACCTAGTAATGCTTTAGAGGGGACAGGGCAAAACCACATGAATCTAAAGACCCAAAGAACCCTTGAAGGCTGTGGTTTCCAAGGACTATAATGAAATGAGTACCTGCGAAGGTGATTACAGTAGAGGGAATCGGATGTTCTCTAGCATGAACTTTCCTGAAGACAGGTTGGCCTAGCAAAAGGATAGGCAAAAAGATCAGCAGAATGGATTACAATAGGTTTGCTATCAGAGATTTGTGGAATTAGTAAAGTAAACCACATACCCAGAAGCACACACTATAAGCAATGTTAGTTTAGGGCTTGAGTGGTTGTAGGTCACCCCTTTACAGGTAACAGAAGGGAGCTCTGGTAGTAACTGATGGAGGTTACTGCCCACAGATGGGGCAAGTGCATGCCTCATGGTAAGGGGTGTGGCCATATTCCTGCAGCTCTGTGAAATGAAGAATCCAGGTTCTTCAAATGACTGCTTCCAGAGGCATCATGAAACAACAGAAAGCATTGATACATTGACAGTTGTTTTGTTTCTAAAGCCTATGAGTGCCAGCACTATGAGTTGACTCGGCTATTTCTCTAGTTTCCCCCACACATAAACTGTTGATAATATTATCTGCTCTATGTCACAGGTTTGTTTGAGGGTGGAAAAACATCTGGGAACATGCTTACTGCATTTGTTTCCAGAGCAGTCTGATTAGGAGAATGCTACTCACATTTGCCAGTTTCGTAAGGGTAAGTCATCATCATGGCACCCAGTGGATTAACCAGGTCATGGATTTTCATTGAATTCCTAGTTCAATTGATTACCATGATGGGATGGTTGAAGAAAACTGACCTTGGAGTCATGAGACCTAGAATTGAGAGCCAGGTCTGCCATGTGCTTGCCATGTAAACTTGGACAAGGCATTTTTCCTCCTGGAGACTCAATCTTCTCAAATGTAAAATGAAGCCTTTGTTCATCTAATCTATAAATTAGAGTGATGAAAGTATTTCCAACTGCTAGAATTTTCATAGTTTGACTTCCTTAGAAAGTCATATATCTTATTAAGTCTGTTACATGAGCATAATAGGATTGGTGGAGTAATATTAAAATGGTATATTGGGTGCTATATAATTTTAATTAGGAAATCCTATAACTACAAGTCTTAGAAGTGTTAAGGGAAACAAAAAAATACCTCTTTATCTTCATATTGAGCCAGAGTGCTGAATTTTCTTAAAAAATATATATATATAATCCGGGTAGATTATATATATATATATATATATACACACATACATACTTATGTGCTTATTTTCCCCCTTTTGGGGTCTCCCTCACTTGTTTCATTTGACTGGAATTCATAATGATGGTATTTACAAGACATAGCTGGGCTTTGGATTAAAAAGGGGCTCAATGTGTAATTTCAAGACGCAGGTAGAAATAAAGGGGTTGGAGGGAGGAAATAAAATGCTGTGGTTAGGACAATCATTTCATGGCTTTTTACTTAAAAAAATCAGAGGGCCTGGCTCTGAGTCTTGAAAGGGTGATTTGGGGTAGAATAATTAATATCTTTGAACCTTTCACCTCCCCTCGAAGTAAGAACAATAAAAACTATAAGAATGGTGATAAAATGATATTCATTACAAACTCTAATGAGCTATAATGCACAGACTGTTATCCAAACAACTGGAAGGTCAAGGGGGAATGAGATCATAGATCCAAACAAGGGCCTTTCAATGAGGCGAGGTCCAAAACAACAGGTAAAGATTTGCAAATTCCAAAAATACTCCTACCACTTTATGTCCAACACTAATGAGATCTCTAAAATATTAGCATTAGGCTGTGGACCAAATTGCTTTTTCAATTTCCATATAGCCTGCTTCAAATTTAGACATTCATGCTTAGCTGTACAAGTCCTCGTAAAAGCTGCAGGCAAGTCTAAGGGCTACATTAATTCTTCTCTACTTTCCCTTCGTCTCAAAATCTTGACTTCAAAGCCTCAAACCAACTTCAAAGAAAAGTTCTTCAGGGCTTAACTCTGCTTTTTTCATTGTATAGGCCCAAGTTTTAGAACTTTCCTCAGGGGCATTGGTAAAGAGTGAAATCCTGGACATTCTGGTCTCTTTCAGAGGAAGTAGGTAATGTAAAGTGAGACAGTGTCTACCTAAGTAGAAATGGACAGGCCAACATAGAAATTCTCAGAGAGTTCTAGAACATTCTCTTGTCATAACTGTATTCATTTTGAGTCTTGGGAGAAAATAGTAGCAATAGAAAAAAATGCTATTTCAGATTCTTGTTTCAGTCATATGGAAGGACTTAGTGAATGACTTGAAATGATAGAAAATTTGGAAAAAATGATTCTGTCATCTAGGATGTTAGGCAGCTAAGGGAAGAAACATTGAACATTACCGGGTAGATTTGATAGAATTTGATAGGAAACATTTCTGACAAAAGAACATCAGGATTTCATTACTTGAGATACTAAAAGGGAGAATTGTTCATGGGATATGAAAGGCAGGCCCTAAAAGTGAACTTCTAACATATTCAATGATTATGAAAAAAGGAGACTATCTGAAAACATCAATGCATTTTAACTAGGCATTCTATTCTCCCAGATTTTAAAAAATTTCATTGGTGCACTATAATTATGCACCAAAGTGTGGTATTCACTATGCTATATTCAGACACGAATATAACATAATTTGATCAATTTCATTCCCTAGTATCTTTCCTTTTCCTCTTTTCTGATCCCTCCCCAACCCACTTGCTTGACTCTAAGAGTCTTAGTTAAGATCTCACTATCAGGCTGCATAGGATTGAAGGTGCGCTAAATATATATAATTTTGAGCTGGGTGGTGCATGCCTGTAATCCCAGCAGCTCAGGAGGCTGAGGCAGGAGTATCTCTAGTTCAAAGCAAGCCTCAGCAACTTAGCAAGGCCCTAAGCAACTCAGCAAGACCCTGTCTCTAAATAAAATATAAAAAAAGGGCTGGGGATGTGGCTCAGTGATTAAGTGCCCCTGGGTTCAATCTCCAGTACATATATATATATATATATATATATATATATATAGTGTAAATATATATATGTACATATATATATTTTCCTACAATGAGTAACTTTATGGAACTAATTTATGGAAATCATTACTTCCATAAAGTCAAAAGGCTGGCTTGCCAAATTTCTACTATCTCATAGCTCTCAAGGGAAACTATTTCATCCAGGGTGACAGAATCAGAATACTTTCAAGAAGACCTCAAAGAGTTAAAATGATGAGATGAGCAAAAGAAAATAAAAGTTTTAAAAAGTAAATGTAAATTCCTGCACTTGGATTCATAAATAACTTCAGTGGTGCAGAAATGAGGAGATATGACCTGGGAAAATTTCAAAATGAATCAGATTTAAGGACTCCTATATAAGGACTTTTCCTGTTTAACGTTTTTATCCTTTTCAATTTCTATGTCTCTGAGAATCTATGAATCATTTTATGGTCAAATGTTGTGTCTAGAGAAGTAGTGGAAAGCAAAAGTCCATGTGAAATTGCCTATATTTATGAGGTCCCACTTTGGATACAATCAATTTGAAACTATGTGTTCATAAATTAACACTAACAGTGGTTTATAATAACCACAACACCCGCAATTGTGTTTTCATTAAAATAAATCTTAATAATATTTCAATCTAAATACTTTTGGTTAGCTCTGATTTAAACATTCTGATAGCTGTATAAGAAATTGGAAAAGTTTTATATTTGCACATTATATCCAAAAAGGCCATTGGGAGATATATCTTAAACCTGCAGCTTCAGATAAATTAAAACTACCATTTGATATTCCTCTCCTTTTATATCTGCATAGATAATTCTGTAAAAGTAAGAAGATATTTAGGGTCAAAATAAGATACTGTGGGGGAATATCTTTAATTTGTACACAAGAAAATAGCTTTAGAGTTGTGCTAAATAATATGATCAACACAGGTTGATACCAGTTCCAATTTAAAAATCTTAAGCTTTCTGACTGCATTCAAATTTTTATAGAGCACTTCAAGTGAGATACATTTCAAGCAGCAGAAATATCACTTACCCTGTTATTAATATTAGAACTAAGTCCCCAAAGAGGGGTTCAGATTGATGTAGTGGGTGAAAGGGAAGGAGCTCCTCTGTTCTCTCCTAGCCTGGCTCTATCTATCAATAGTATCCTAAGATTGAACCACCTTGTCACCTCCAATGTTTTTTTCAATGACAGCAATTGTGCTTATTTTAGTTCTACATATTTTAGTTCCATATACTCATCTATCTGAGTGTACTGCACATTATCAGTGCTATGTGAGCATCTGTAATTTGGCCAGGTGTCAAAATATAAATGAATTTTCATACAAATAAACACAGCATACACACATGTTAATTCATAAAATGTTAAATGTGAAAAATCAGCAAGAGCACACCAAGTGCTATAGTTCAGTGTTAATGCAGGTTGCATAAGATGTGGGTTGGGTTTGATTTTTAGAGTACTTGGGGAAAAATGGGAACTTGAAAAAAATATATATTCTTACCATACAGGTATTTTCCTTTATTAAAATCAAATAAAAATAAGAAATTAATTTTTAAAAATAGTAACATATTAGGAACAGACAGTAAAAAAGTAGGTAATATCAGACTTTAAAATTCATACCTGTTATTGTGAAGCCACCTAAAAAAGGAAAAAAAAAAATAAAAAGTTACAATTTAAATTACACTCTGCATAACATATACCAGTGATATTTGACTATCTGACAACCCACCCAAGGTAATGGAAATTTGCCAAATTATATTCGCAATTACAAATATGAAAACATCCATTCATGATGGAATCACTAATTCCTTTAAGATAGTGCATAAAGTTAATTCTGAGGCATATCTAAGAAATCTATGGTTTTCAAAAGTTAATACTAAATTAAAAATGTAATATAAATTATTTGACTCTAACCAAAGTGAGGCCAATGGCCCTAAACAACAATCTTGTTAGCAATTCAATAGAGATGAAAATCAGAGAGCTACTATATTACCTAACAGAAATAGAAAATAACCCAGAAAAATGGAAAGGAAATGCAAGAAATGAAGTGCTTACCAAGCTCATTCAATAACAGGGCTGTGAAGGAAACAGACAAAGACAAACACAGAATAAGAGACCAGATGAATAATGAAAGTAAGAGGAATATCAGCAGAAAGAAATCCAGGCAGATCTGATTAGAGTGGTTAAAAAAAAAAAAACCACTGCTAAAAATTTGGTGCACCCAAGGGTACAATGTGGTGTTGAGGGTACTTCCAAATTAAAGATCCAAACAAATAGTTCTGTAAATGTGCGTGATTCATGGGAAAAAAAAAATCACCTTATGAATCTTTTTTTTTTACATTTAACAAAACATTTCTACTATATATGCTTATACACAGTGTATATATCTACAAAATATAGTAGGAAGTTAAATGAAGTTAATCCTTTGCTTGACTCAAAGTTGTTTTCCTCATTAAATGTTGCCTGGGAATTAATACAGCATTTGAGAGTCTAGTGATCCAGGATCTCAGGTATCATACATTTTAATCAGCAAGAACAGATAAAAGATCCTAAGATGTTCCCTTAGACTTCCCTGCCTGCCAGGACACTCTGACCCCTTTTTCTGGTACAGCCCTCTTTCTGGACATGCTACTTGGATGATATTTTGGTCCCTATGGATTGCTAAAGTTTCAAAAACTCTTAAATCCTAAGAATCACAGGAATTGATACTTATTTGTGTGTCCTCATTAGTGACTTCTGCACAAAATTAGATAACTGGATATTTCTAGTGGATATAGAACTCCATAGAAACTGACAGGGCAGGGAGGGTGGAGGAAGCAAATAATTTTTCTTTGAGGTTATATCCTTTAAACCCGGTCTGGATGGCGGTACTTTATTTTAGTAAAAGCTACCTGGCTAAATATAAATGGCTTTCTGAGCTGTAGATAGGAATGTTACAATTGCTCTTTTAGGCCCAGTTTTCTCATGGTAGTGGCCTTAGAGGGCACTTTCTATAACAAGTCAGTAATTTTATTTATAGTGATAAGAATCCACTTGGCAGCAAGAAACTGGGTAGTGCCATCAAGGAATTTTAATTTGCTTTCACACGAAGGCATATTTTACTAAAATGACAATTGAAAGAGCTGTATCCAAGATGCTCTTCCTTGAGATAAAAGACAGCTCTTTGGAGGAATACATTTAGAACTAAGTGCTTTTTTCCCATCTTTGTAAGACATCAGCACAATTTTATGAAGTCTCTTCTCCTTCTGCTTACTGCCTATGGAACTTATTAAATAAGCTGCATTCAAATGGGTCCCAAGTGCTCCTTTATCCACCGTTCCAAAGGCTTCCATTGCCATTTTGAGCTTGATTAGGTCAGGGACATGCCCTCAAGAAAAAAAAATAATAATAACCTAAGGGACCCTGAGGTCAGTGAGTTCTCATAAATGTGAAATTAAATTTCCCCAAATGTTGGTTCTATATAGGAATAAGTCCTGTGAATTTTATTTTTTCCTTTACATGTAAAAGTAAAAACTTCTTGCAGTGTTGTTCATCTAATCATCTTTTACACTGCTCTTGCCAATTGTGTATATATAAATAATAAGAATTATTAGCATGTGGCATGCTCATTTTACACATGCAGTTGAATCAACAGGATTTTTTTTTAATATGGCCACTGTTAAAAGGATAATCATAGGGAGTCCTAGTATTTATCTTTTATTTCACAATAAAAGATTATATGTAAGGCTGAAATAAAATTGCTGTTTACCCTTATCAAATCTAGGCCATATAAAATAGATGTGAAACAAAGTTAGGAAAGAAAATTGGCTCCCTTTTCAAATATTTTCTACAACAATACTTATGAATAATCAAAATAGAGTTATATGGATACTGCTGCTTAATTTTTCTTTTTACTAGACAAATCAAAATTTATTAATTCTATAATGATCAAAAGATTTTAGAACATAAGGATATATAGACTTTAACCCAGGGTTAAAGTTTTACCAAAGGACCATGTCTTTCCATCTAAAGTAAAATGTATATGACTACAGTTTTATATGTATGACACCTTTTAAATGTTATATTTAATACAAAAAATGCCAAAATGAGCACTTGCATATGGGTAACACTACTCTTTAAGGATCTTTGTTCTTATTAGTTTGTTTTAAAAAAAAAACTGTGTTCTTTTTACAGAAGCCTAATTATTGAATTCTTCTGAAATTTCTTATTAGTTACCCTTAGACTTATTTGTTGCCACTAATAGGCATGAAGTAGTTTTTTTCTTCTTCCAGCTTCACTGAAGCACAATTGAGGAGCTATGAAATAGTCTTTATCACTATCGTTCTAGGGGAGATGTATAATTGTAGCCACATTTTAGAATGAATTTTACGTAGTGAAAAACTAAGCACCTTGTTCTTTAACATCATCGTTTCTGAAATCCAGAAATATCTAGTATTTATGAAGCCTGATTGTAATCAAGGTTAGTCCACATTTCCTGTGGAAAACGGGCACTGCTTAGTGCACTTGTGGGTTAGGGGTGGGAAATGAACCTGCTAAAGCTTCAGAGGCAATGGAGTTTAGTACTTGGAAGCCGAGGAAGAGGAGAGAGTTAAGTGTGAGAGTAGGGAGACACGGAGAGAGAAGAGTACAATTTCTCGCTGGTATGTCTTTGTATACTCTCACACCTTTCATTCCTCTTCTTATCCATTTTGGTTCCTCAAGCACAAGGGAGAAACTGCACTCTTTCTCATATTCCTCACGGTCATATATTCTAATGGTAATGATCTTCCTGTGGGAACACAAGACAAAGGCAAAACAAATGGTTGGAGTCACACGCTCATGCTCTAGATGTCCACCAAGCTGGATGTTACTGTGATGTTATGGAGGGAGAACTCGCAGCACATGGACCTCCAGATGTTTGTAAAAGGGCATCTTGGTGCTCTCAGCTGGCCCCCATTAAATTTTCTGTGCTTATGCATTCCTTGCATGAATTCTTCCTGCTTGGGTTAGCAGTCCCTGGGTACCCCAAATTAGGAAGGTAAATTGGAAATCTGGCTTCATTTTTAACATTGCCTAGCATCTGTATCAATTTTCCCAGAAATGGAGGTTTGATTGACTGCACTGGCCAGTAATTTTTTAGACCCGGCCCACTGCAGCCCAGCATGAGATCTATGCCCTGTTACAGAGGTGGAGGGATGTGTGCATTGTAAGTCATGTTCTGAAGAGTGCAGGCATCCAGGGTGGCACAGGCCAGCAGAAGCTGTAGGGCTCAACCCTGGAGCAGCTCCCCCACCTTTCTTCTCACTCATCTCCACCAGGCGGGGCTCTCCAATCTCAAGGAAGAAGGTCTTGTTTTTCTCATACTCCTCATCATCAATTACCTTGACTGATATTGTTTTGCTGAAATAGAGAAGAACAGAAATTGACGAACAAGGGGAAGAGGAAAGAGAAGGAACATAGAGAAGAGGAAAGCAAGGTTAACACGTTGCACTTCTTCCAAACAGCAATTGAGAAACGTCTGTACTTTTGAGTTTTTTCTTCAAGAATGGATATCAGCAGGTCGGAAAGACTAAAAAAGCCACCCAATGCATATCTCCCTGCCCGGGGCCACGGAATTAATTTGGACAATATAGTACTCAGTACTAATAAGTTATCATCATCATGAAAAGGAAAAGCACAAAAATACATATCACAGTAATAAAGGAAAATATATTTATTTAAGAAATGCCTTCACCATCAGGTTATCTGAGCTGTGTCCTGCTATTCATTCCTTTAGAATAAGTCAGTAAATTACAACAAAATTTTAACAGAGTTAATCTCTGAGCAATAGGCTGGTGGGTCACTGTTTCTTTCATCGTGCTTTTCTGATATTTCCAAGCAAAATATTTTGTATCATAAAATTTTATTAAAATAACAAATGTACAGAAGCATCACAAAAGAAAATATTAAGTCTTTTACTCCACCCAGTGTCCTAGAATCTAACTCTTATTCAGGTTAAGCAGATTTTCCACCTCAAGCACAACAGGAAGTTATTCATGTTTTGTTTGTCTTTCTAAAGATGGAAGCTGTGGCCTCAAAACAGCTGTTTTGAAAGTGGGGTGGCAGTGATGTGGGTGGGGAAGACTTGTGCTATTGTAGTTATTTTCATTTCTCCCAAAATTGAGTTTTGACTTTCACTGAATATACCATTTATACTACTTTCAAACTCTACCTCTGGGAGAGAAACACCAAGGCATTGGGAAGAGTTTCTCAGATAACCCAGCCTCCAGCAGTTCTGCTTTGTGGTCCTACAGCTGTGATTGACAGACAGGCAGGTAGGACAAATGCAACTATTATGCAAATTCCAACTTCCAGTAAGCCTCCATGACTCTGAAAATGAATAAATCCATTGTTATCTTTTAAGTAATTAAGGACCTGTATTAGAGCATATTCAAATATGCTAAAAAATATCTAAAAAACGTTCCCAGATGCTGATTCTTCTTGGAAAAAAAATTAAGAATACTGGCCAAAACCACTTCTGATTATAGTTTTTGCAACAATATGTCTGTATAGACACAAAGTTTTAATGGTCTGAACATTCTTTAATCTTGGTTGAGTTTTCTAGGTCTTCGGGAAGGGAAGTGGTTTATTGTCTTGTTTTTATTTTATTGATCAAAGACTTCAAGTTTCATTTAGACTTAGGCATGCTAAGAACATCTTTTCTAGTGTGAAGTTAGAAGTTGCTTTTAATTCTTTTGTTTTTTTCCAACCCCCAATGGGCAAATGTTGAAGTCTTGCTTTCTTGGCTTAGCATTGTAGAAGTGAAATCAAGTGATTGATTCTGGTTTTTGGAGCCTCATAATATAACTCTGTTTTCCTCAGCTCCAGATCTTGCTGCATGATGCTAAAGTCCTGATTTCTTGCTCCTAAGAAGTGGGAACTCCTGAGAGTGCCTTTTCTCTCTCAACTCTTTCCTCAAAGACTAATACTAGAATAACAGTTATAAATGACAAAAGCAACAATCATTTATTCTAGAAAACTATAAATGAAGTAAGACAAAGTCCAAGTACATGTATACTGTGAACAGTTCCTGTCTAAAATTTAGAACTAAGTTTCTGGAATTCACCTATTTATTTTGTATATATTTTAAAAATCAGTTTGACCTGATTAACCTGAGATAGTTAATTATTTGTTCATATCTGAAAAATATAAAATATTGAAAAAAGCTAAGAGGACACATGTTATTATACTTTCTATTTCAGAACTGAATTTGATTTTATAAATTAGATCAAATTTACCCTATAAAACCTAACAAATGTCTCTTTGTTATTAAAATTTATGCATTTTAGGTATTACTTTCTACCTTACTGTCTTTAGATCTTAAAAGTATAATTGTAGCTGGGCACAGTGGTGCATGATTGTAATCCCAGTGGCTTGGGAGGGTGAGGCAGGAGGATCACAAGTTCAAAGCCATCCTTAGCAGAAGCAAGGCACTAAGCAACTCAGTGGGACTCTGTCTCTAAATAAAATACAATATAGGGCTGGGGATGTGGTTCAGTGGTTGAGTGACCCTGGATTCAATCCCTGGTACACCTCCCCACCCCTCAAAAAAGTGTAATTGCACATCTTTACTGAAGCTACCAGCATGTAAGACCAAGGGAGTGAGGGGTATGAAAGGACATACTACTCACCTTGGGACTGATAGCTCAACATTCATTGTCAAGGCATTTTATCATGGGATGCATTGAACTGAGACACCTCATTGTGAGAGTCATGTTGCAACATTCTTATTGTATTACTTAAAAACGTTTCATCTTTTTTAACCAGATGTGTTTTTCCCCCTAGAAAGTGAACCATTAAAAATGTAGCCATATTGAGAAATACTTTAATGTTATTATAAGACTTAGAGCTGCTTTGCTAGTTTTCAAAAAATTTAACTTTAAAACACATTGTTTAAGTATTTACATAAAAATAAGTAAGTTTTCCTCACCTATTTTGTATCATTGTGGTAGTTGAAAAGAGTAATACCAGTGTGTATTCCTAGCCCACCCTGTGTCTCCTATTTCATTGATTATAGAAATAAAGAAAGCAAAGTCGGGATGATTGAATGGTGTTACCAGTGGGATGAGTGTATAGGGAAGTTTTATGCCCCCTGGGCAATATAACCACTTATTCACAAATGAATAGAAACAACTAAACAAAATATTGTTTCTAATCTCTGGAAAATAAAATAGAATTTAATTCTCAATTGTTGTAGTAATTTTATTTTCTATACGTTGAGAAGTGATAAGGGTGAGAGTTATACAGCCCCATATAATTTGTTTGCATAACGAAAGTAAGCATTTATATTTTATCTCGAGTATCAGTATTCACTGGGCTCATAATCTTCAGAAAATATTCCAGTATTTGATAATCATGAGACAGGCAAATGAAAGATGAAGAAAAAAGTACATCTGTAGGTGCCTTGTAAAGATGTCTAAAATAGATGGCATTTGCATAATGGCATATCATTTCAAAGTCATCAGTAATGGAATCAATAATGCCCCTGACAAGAGGAGCCATGAAATCATATATTGATTTAGCTTCTCTTGCACAGTAAATCTATTAATAGGAAACATGATTGTTAAAGGACATTTCAGTCGATCTAAAGTGGCAGGATGAAGCAATCAGTCCTTATGAACTAGCCCTCTTAACCAAGAGAGGTAAAACCAGAAGTCAGGGTAGTGTTATCATTTGCATCTGCATAGAATTATTTTTTCCCCAAGTAAGGATGAATGGAACAATGTCATTTTTAAAGGAACACATCCTTGGGATGCCTTCTTCTCACTTTCCAGAGCCTAATGGCTAAAGAAAATTCTACTGCCACTTCTTCCATCACAGCAGATGTTACACGAGATGGGGTTGGTTTGATGAGGACTCCAGGTATACTGGGTTGATAAAAGGCAGAGGTATGCCTCGGTTCCTCACACTTCTACAGTAGAAAGAAAATCTCCGGGACCGAGGGAACTTGAAGATCCTTCAGCGGGCCTCATCATCACACCAATCCCATGTCAAAGGAACTCCATCTCCCTCATAACATACATCCATGATGGTTGTTCTGTTCACCAACAGTGAAGCAGTCAGATGGCTGTTGTTATTTCCTTAAACTGACAGGTTAACAACAACAATAAAAAAGACTGAAACTGTTTGGTAGATGGGCTTTTCATCCAAGTATAACTCCTGTATTATTATTGCACTGATAAGGAAAAAAAATAGGAAAACTGGTATCATGCTCTTTCAACCATCACAATTATTACAAAGAAGATAATGAAAACTCAATTTTTAATGTAACTACTTAAAGTTGAACATTGTACCATATTTTTTTTTTCTGGAAACTAGGAAAGCAGTTTCAAATCTTATGACAGCATTAAAATATTTCTCAATATGGCCAAAAATTTTATGGAAGTACATTTTGATTCCATTTCTAGAAAAAAAATTAGTTAAGAAAGATAAAATTATTTAGTGGAAAAATACTGATCATTTCTTTTGATCTTTGTGGTACCTTTCATGTGAGGATACCAAACCAACATCTACACTTTACTTTTCAATCTTTCTCTCATCTGATGGGTCTCCAAGGACCCAAGAGCTTCAAACAGACTAAGAAAGACTCCTTAAATTTAGTGGTGATTCAGGCACTACTCAGTGAGGAAGGAAAGAAAGACCCGGTTTCATGAGTGGAGATGGAAAAAGAAAATCTCTTCAAACTTTATTTTAGTCTCTCATTATTAAGGTGAAGTGGTAACAGAGTCTCCTTTTCAATTTAAGCCTCAATTTGTCCTACAAGAGTTTCTTATCCCTAAGACTCTCCTTGATGTTGGAAGAAAAAGATGAGCTGGAGGATTAGAGAGAAGACTCCTTTCTAAATCCGTACACAAAAGATTTGAGCCAGGATTGCACATATTTAGGCGCTACAATGGCTTTTTTGTTTGTTTTGTTTTTAAGAACTTCCTTTAGGCATACTCTGAGGTCAGTGGAATGATGGGCAGTTTGCAATTCTTCAAAGGTTCCAACACATAGGTAGATTATTCTAACAGCCACAGAAATAATCATTACTATCTACAATTTACAGAGAAAACAATGACTTTCATTAACTTCCAAGGTCACAAGGTGACTAGCTTCAAGGACCACTACCTCAATCATGTGACCATCAATCAACCATCAGCTCCCTTATTCATTCAACTGCACAGTTTTTCTAATGACCACTTTAAAAAATCTAGATCATTATTTCAAATTAATATAGAGATTTATTTAGTTTTATATTAACAAAGCCCGACTATATATATGAACAAAAATAGACTTTCAATTCTTTTTTTGAAAGGATTGCAGTACATATTATATTCCATAATGGTCACCTTAGAAAGTTAAATCCTTAAGAAGATGCA